TGGAGGCACGGTTGGAGGCCATCGCTAGCAGGTTGGAGGCAATTGCTCCTAGGTTGAAGACTTTACACATGCGTTCCCTGCAGGTAGATGCAAGTAGCTTACTCTTGATTCCTGCGAAATGAGATTCTGCAAAACCACGTCAGGACAAGCATGTGCATCGATCAACAGTCACTTGGTGATTGTCAGGGAAGTGCTTGAAGCATGGACAAAGGGGTTGATCTTGCTTAGAACTTGAAAGACGCAGCAATCATTCCGGACACCTCCTACAAAATGACCTAAGATGATCCACATTGACATGGTACCTTTCTTGTATTGGAGACTCGCGGGGGTCCATGCATTAAATCCTCCACCCCACATCAAAATTTGAAGTTCTAAGGCATTGTCGTGTCTTTCTACCCAAAATTAGACGCCAAAACCTAAGAACCTCAGTGAAACAACTAGCCCGAGAGACCACAGGCATCAAGGGATCAACCCCCAAGCTGTCAAGACTCGAAGACTTTTCACATCGGATCACTCCACTGAAGCACCATCACGATCAAAAAGGAATCATCACTCCGAAGGCGAGTCTTCCTCCATCACTGGCTCCAAGGTTGGTGCATTGAAGGCCTTTTCGCAACTCGGAACGGACCTGGGCATGCGGGATTTGAAAGATCCGAGTCCGGAACTCGAAAGACCCTCCGCAAAGGAAGCGACCAACAACTCGGTCAGTGGTGAGTACCCATGGCTACGAACGGAGCGATCGGACGCTACGAACGGGGCGAAACTGGCATGGCTACGAACGGAGCATTCTTGCTACTACCCAGAAGCTCCAAACAGCCCGACTGGTCCCTCAAAATCATAAAGATTTGAGACCCTCCAGACCCCTCCAGAGGATTCGGGTCCGACCCCTCGATATGAGGGTCCAGGAGCATCTGGGTAGTAACAAGAAGCTACTAGGGATGTTTGACACTTTCGGCATGTCCGAAATCGGCTGGACATGGCCGGTCGACTGGACGGACTCGACGCCAGACGAGCCGCTGGGCCAGGGACTCAACGACACCGAGAACAGGAACAGGGTGGCAACAAAAATCCGAAAAAGCTCTGCCTCTTTATGGAGCTTTGTGGAAGTTGAGGAAGTCGTTGATGATGCAGCTCCTCAAATGAGACAAAGTCCTAGACCTGCAAACTATATCAAACTTGCTACCCTGTGCATGTCCAAAACTAGATCTCGCGAATCACATACTCTTGCACATGAGCAAAAGCTGGTGTTCTATGGGCGGCAGGCTGCTAGGAGACCTGGACACGCCCGGACACCCGCGCGACACGCGAGTCGGCGCAAGCCACACCAATGAGGAAACACCTCAGCCAAAAGCCACACCATTAATTCACTTACACTCCGACGAACACATCACATGGAAGTGGAAAAAACCCTGTTCGTAAAGGAAAGTCCTCTTCCTTTCGGGACCATTTTCATCCATTTTCCACTTCCATGGAACGTGAGTCGGAGTGTACATCACATCCACCCCCCCCTCCGTTCGCGTCTCGCCTCTGCGAAACCCACATGGATCGCCCCGTTCCTCGGACCTGACGGTCTCCTGAGTTCGCAAGGCCATTTGGACCTGATTGATGGCTTTGGCCAATTGTGCACGTTCCAGCGTGAGGATCGGGGTCTCACATTGGGCACTGGCACCTGCACCCATAGCTTTGCCACCCAGCACCGAAGCAACAGCGCGAAGCCGGTGCCGAAATGGCTTCGGTGAGTCTGTCACAGTGGAGCTGCTAGAGCTTGGTGAATGACTGTGACTGAATGGTTTCGAGGCCTCAAGCAGTGTGAAGATGCGTGAAGGCCCAAAAGAAAGAATGCACAAGCTTGCGGGGTAGGTCCCAGGCAGGCTTGAACCAAACAGGCAGCAGGCTGCAGATGTTGTACCACTGCTAGGTGCATGTCAGAGGAGTCTATGAGTCTATGTCTCATCTTGCGAGAACCTCGAAAGGCCACAAGCACCCTCTGCAGACTGATCACCTTCCGCCTTCTATCTTCCTTCCTCCCCCTTTTCCCCGAACCCCCACCCTTCATCCAATCGACCAGCCCACGCAGCTGTGTACAGTCCTGGCCTTTCAGTGACGGGCTCCTGGACAAGCGGCAAATGGAGACGCTGGATCATCTGTTGGTATCTGGCCACGGTCTGGACGATTTGGCTGTGGGTCATAGCACGAGGATACCTTGCTTGACCTACAAGGCAAAATGGGTTTGGGGTTTAGGTTTTGAATCATCCCCATTTCAGTCTCGGGGGCCAGGGTCTGAGCCTTGGATGAGAAGATCTAGGATGGTCTGTGGATCCTGTACGTGGCACCATGCCTCTTTCGCGCAACTCTTGAAGTGCTGCGTCTGCTGGGTGGTTGAGCTTCTGCTCATTTCGGGACATCAGTCACCCACCCCAACTGGTAGCAAAACACTGGTCTCCAGCTGCAGAGTCTCCGATTCACGCTAGGGGTGCCAAACTTGGAGCAGAGGGGCGCCCAGGATTTCTCCACTCACTGGGAGACGAAAAACCTCTAAAACCACCCCTGAGAGATGGAGAAACCACCCCTTCATTCATGTGACTTCTGGTGTCCACACAAAAACTACTCGAGGGGTGCACCTGAACGGATTTGACACACAGCTCCGAGGTGAACGGAGACCAATCCAGTCTGTCCGGAAGGTCGCACAGGAACGGGTTCGTGTCTCTCGGTGCCTTCATGTGCTGGAACAATCGAAGCCCAGATGAGAAGCAGTTCATCTGTCCAACTGGGCCTTCCCCATCTTTGCCCTCTCTTCTTCTCATCTCGAGATGAGGTGCTGAATCCCCATCTTTGCCCCACCCTCTTTTCTCTCTCTTTTTCGTCCTTTTCGATCTGCCGGACCTTTTGGAAGGAAAGACCTTGGCCCAGACGCTCCGTGAAACCAGCCCGACCGGTCCCGAACCAAACCCGTTCGGGATTGGTTCGGGTGCAAACCCCTCCATAGGAGCGTCCGACCCGGTTCAGGGTTGCGTCTGGGTGGTGGTCCCAAAACTTGCCCAACCCTCCCCACTTCCCCCGTGGCGCGCTCGCTTTCTTTTTTTCGGCCGATGACCCACCAGCAGACCCTGGGCACCGAGGCACCGGTGATCTCCGGGGCGGGGAAAAGCGGCTGAGACGTCGCTTTTTTGAGTCGAAGAAACACCATCTATTAGAAACAATGTTCGCTACTAGGAACAAGTGCATCGCTAGTAG